TTACACGTTCGGTAGGACTCCTTGGGCTGGTGATCAGCTCGTCGCAAGGCCTCTACCTGTACACAAACACAGATAAAAGCAGACACACACTAACTAAACATCCATGCCCTGAGTGGGATTCGAACCCACGATCCCGGTTTCCAAGCGAACGAGACAGTACATGCCTTAGACCGCTCGGCTACCGTGACCGGCTGTTGCTACTTTAAACTGTATAAAATACAACTTCGACAGGAATGTCATGTTTCTCCGAGATCTATTATCATATATCACTTCGTGACTCAGGGTTAAGTGACGCTAGGACGCTCGCGTCTCGCAGTTTCGTGCGTCCGCCATGCTGCTATTATCGTTTGTGTTGAAAAAACTTAAATATCGGAGGTCTGCAGTGGTATGACGTCCATGCTAAGTTAAATGTAAATCGATTAACTGGTACAAAAGTTTCAACAGTTGAACAGACTGCAGCTAGACACACACAGACAGGCGGACAATATGGTGATCGCTTAAGCGTGCTTTTCATTTTGGGAGGAAAGTAGGCTACAAGCGGAGCAACCATTTCTGTCTGTGTGTGTGCACACCACAATTCACCTTACTCTTTTTGCTTTCATAACTAAGTATTCGTTGGGTGGACACTACAGCCCCAGTTTATGTCTCGTCACAATCCGTGATGCATGGAAAGCATATACGAACACGGGATTTAGGAGCGGGTTGCTTAACTCAAACGGAGCATGCCTCGAAACAACAAATTTACACACGCGATTTCAGTTTCTCATGGAAACTGTTATGAAGATCACTGTCCTATAAGATGTGACACCATAGAATAGTGATTTTCTGCCTTTATGATGGAGGCAGAATGTTCTCCGAAACGTTTATAACTATCTATCTGGCTACAAGACATTAGCTCGGTAATATTTGTAAATTCAAATTGTTACGTGTAAGTCGTTAATTATTGTTATTTTCTCCTATAATTATAGGAGAAAATAACAATATCATGCATCACGAATATTATAATATTCAGTGAACATTTAAATGTGAATCGCAGATTTAAATTTACGCACATAATATTTGCATTTACAGACTTAATAAGTGATGTGCTGGCTTCCGCCCGAGTCGGTTCCTCGTTTCTAATTATCCTTGCGTTATCATTTCTAAGGGTTACGTCGTAGAAGGGCAGAATATAAAGAAGAATAAAACTGAGATTGTGCACACTATTTCTGATAACTATAAAAGCAAACGATTATCAGGCTGGCTAGAAAGCTTATTAAAGTTATGTTATTGCATTGCGAGATAATGTGAATATATGTATCCATTTTTACCCTTTACAGTGTAAGTACCTAGCTGATAAGCTTCTTGGTTTCAAGTTAACAGCCCACTCACGTAGCGGGTATACACGATCATTTTAATTTTCCTCTTGTTTAGACTGTGCAACACTTTATTCGTTCTAATGACAGAATTTCTCTTCCTAATAACGGCTCTCTTCTAAGTTCCATTTCCTTTTAGGTTTTTCAAAGTCCGGTAGACATGCAAAAACAAATCAAAATATTTTCCTTTTTAGTGACTCTGCTGAAGTTTTGAATCTCTTATTTTTATATAAATAGACTTTATGCAATTGTTCTCTTTCTTCTTTCTTTCTTTTTCTCTTTCTTTCTTTCTTTCTCACAACCTCCCTTTATACGAAAAGTTTTCAGTTACAGAGTTCAGGTTCCTCTTTTACAAATTGAACATTTTTATTATTTTCTTTTATACAAAGCACACAAAATTAAATATATTCCTTCTCCTCCATATACTTGTCTGTTTTACATAAAGCACTTTTCTATACATATTTTGATGCCCTTTTATATAATTCAGAAGTGTCCATTTTTAATATTTCTTTTCCTTTTCCCCATTTACAGTACACATCAACACACATCAACACACCAAGAAACCAAACATATTTCATGTGTGCACGACAAAATTAACTACTGCATGATAATCTAAAAAATACCTTAAAATACTTTATAATCAATTCCCATTACTCCTCACATTCTAAATGCAACAGCGTCACAACAGACCAGCAGTTTTCACCTATAATCTTATACATCTGATGATGGGCTGTTAGGCGGAAACATATCATGTTAAAGGAGTGATAAAATCAGGCAAACAGCCTCCAAAGTGTGAATTTTAATATATGGACGAAGTTGCACCGAGACGGCAAGTGAGAGGGCTGAAGTTGGAATGAACAGAGCAGCAGGATGCTGCCAGACCCTGACGTGGTCATCCAGTTTAATCCTGCTCATTATCGCTCTCATATACACAACCTTCCGTTCGAAATCTGTATACAAATTCGTCGATTTTCTCAAAACTACATTCATCCGATTAGGATTGATAAATGGTGTAAAATGTATGCAGCACGCAGCACAAAAATAATAAACGAATGCAATATCTACTTTCAGAGCCCTGAAGAGTAGAGGCCACTTGGGATCTACCTTAAAGGATAACATTAAAATGGATCTTCAGTTATATATGAGGGTCTGTGAACTTATCCGAAGTCTTTTTGTTTATATTTCTTGTGTTATTGTTAATTATAAGAAAAAATGAGTAAGAGTACAAACCGGAAGGTCGCGGGTTCAAGTCCCGATTAGGTCATTGGATTTTTTTCAATTGACCTAATCCTTCCAGTCGCACCATGGCCCTGGGGTCGACTCAGCCTATAAGAGAAATGAGTACCAGGAATTAATTAAATAATTTTCCTGGGGAGTAAAGCGCGGCAGGCGAGTAAGGCTGACAACCTTACCGCCATCTTTGAGCCGATTGTCTAGATAATGTGGGAGCCTCAACGTCCCACAACCCTATTGGCCTCCAGGGCCTGTTACACGGATAGCTTTACTTTTTTCTTTCTTTCTTTTTTAAGAGTTTCTACATGAATTTCAAGTGTGCTGAACGTTGCATACTCAGTTATAATGATTCTGCACTTGATTCATTTTGCTATCCAATCTGACTTTCAGTTATTTTTTACATTTTCTGTAGGCCTACAGCTTGATATTTTCATAGATCCATTGTTTCCAAGTTCCTCCGGGAAGAATCCAATGCAACATACTGTTGCAGACGTGTAAATGCAATGGTTTTATTATAAACATGCAGTAGGATACAGAAGTTCAGCANCGGATAGCTTCACTTTTTTCTTTCTTTCTTTTTTAAGAGTTTCGACATGCATTTCAAGTGTGCTGAACGTTGCATGCTCAGTTATAATGATTCTGCGCTTGATTTATTTTGCTATCCAATCTGACTTTCAGTTTTTTTTACATTTTCTGTAGGCCTACAGCTTGATATTTTCATAGATCCATTGTTTCCAAGTTCCTCCGGGAAGAATCCAATGCAACATACTGTTGCAGACGTGTAAATGCAATGGTTTTATTATAAACATGCAGTAGGATACAGAAGTTCAGCGTACAATGAATTAATTTATTGAACAAAGTTTGTCAGATCCTTATTCCAGATGTTTGTCCCGAAGGCATGGTTAACAGTCGACATGTGATGTGTGGGCAAACGTACGGCATCCGGCAATTCTGGCTATGTATTCATGAGAAATGTTGGTAATTTGTCTGAACCTGGGCAAACATATCTTGACCCTGGATAAAATATAGTCCCATTACAGTCACAAAGGTGACGTATAATTACGTTTTCAACCACATTAAAACGCATTTTTGTCCAACTGAACTATCTCCATGGAGCAGAGCGCTTCTTGAGAAGCTGATAATAAATCACCTACACAGAGTACCGTTCTGATCTTTATCTAGTCGCTAGATTTTTACAGAATTCGCGAGGATATGCGAATGAATCCTGAGTATCTTGTGTCCAGACCACAACTTCACATCATATTTGCTTAAGTTCCATTTTAGTATTATCATCTGATCTGCTTCTGTGTCTCCAAACTAATCTGTTTCTCTCAGGGTTTTTTCTAAAATATTTAAGTATTTCTCAATTCCCGAAGGATGCTACTTGACTGTCACTTCTAAACCTCCTTATTTCGGTCGCCCTAATAATATA